TGTCACACACACACACACACACACACACACACACACACACACACACACACACACACACACACACACACCAACCAGTTCTCCTTGGCCCGCTGAAGCTCACCCAAGATTGCAAGTACAGGCCCTTCAGGCCGGTCCGGTTGGCCTAATGGTCCGCCAAAAACTGCGCCAACAATTTTCGGGGGACCACCAGGCACTGGAAAATCGCCTGGGGACCCCCCCAAAAAAATTCAAATTTTGTAAAAATGGGGCCCAACCGGACCCCCCAAACCGGACACCGGATCCCGGACATCCAGACCGGACCGTCTGGATCCCGATCCGGACGTCCGGTTGACAACCATGCTACGTCTTTGTTTTTTTTTTTGTGTTTTCTTTGGCCTGTTTCTTTTTTTGACGTTTGCACTATGGGCTCATATCGTTTGTTTTTGAAACTTTCGATGAATTTCGCACCAAAATTGCCGGCGAAAATGGCGAATATTTAGCCCCCCGTTAACCATCTCCTTGGTGGTCCTGCCAATTGCTACAGATTTGTTTGAATCTGGTTAGTTACCCAGTGAGTGCAGAAGCCAGTTGATGGAAGGGATGTTGGAGGTTGCACATGGATGATGAGTGACAGGAAGTCCCAAGCAGCCGCTTTATTAAAGACGCTCGTGCGACGTGAACCGTTAGAGGGAGCTCGTAGTTTCCTTCTTGGTCAAGGCTGTAGCGCTCCGGTGGAAGTGGTAATTGCCCTCATGAAAGGACATTACCGGCGAAGTGATAGGTAAAGGCATGTCGCTGAGCAGGTCGCAAGCAAGTCAAACCAGTTTGCAAGTCATGTCAAACCAGTCTTCAACGCAAGAGTTTGCAAGTCAAAGTCACTTACAGTAGCAGAAAAAAATCAGCTTTTTTGAAGTTTCTCCCCCCTCCACCCCCCCCACACCCCCCAAACAAAAAAAAGAAAAAGAAAAAAAAGAACAGCTTTTGTTTGATCAGTGGTTGTACACAGCACCAACATGAGTCTCCGAGAAATTGCAAAAGAACTGAAGGGAAAATACAGGCCTTGTTCACTTGGTACGCCATGACCTGTCGAAACCACGGGCCGGAGCTCAAATCCAGAAGGAACAAGGTGAATGATATGGAACACTTCTTCTGAATTACCTGGGGGCGGTCAGTTCGACAATGAGCCCCCCAAGGCCATTGCCTTCGAAAAGGGGAAAAAAAAAGTAAGAAATAACTGAAGGGAAAATGAGAAAATACTAAAAATAGTAAAATATTATTAAAATATACATGCAAACAAAGAACAAAACCGCACAGACACTGCCTGGAAGGAAAAAACATCCTAAATAGTCCCACCGTCACTGACGGACAGATCGGATTCTTTGTGTCCTTGGCCTGTGTGCAGCACCTTGGACTTTCAACCCACGCGGTCTTGTCGACTGTCTGAAGAAGATAAGACAAGAGGTGTGTACAAGTTAGTTGATTAAACTGAATTGTAACTTGTTAAGTATGTCTAAATTTCAAATTTGTTGTTTACCATAAATTATTAAATAATAAAATTATTAAATATTAAATAGTATATAATTTAGGAGTCTGATGCTACCCCTAGCTATGTTTACCCATGGTAGGTCATGTCTCATCTGTAGTTTGATCATCCACTTAGCCGCCTGTGGTGCTATCGTGTCCTCTTTTTTGGTCGATGAGTCCTAGTTCTCTGTCAACCTGTATCTGCCTGTTGTAATGCCATGCTAACTTTGGAATATAAAATTATAAATTATATAATACTTCTGTTTGCCGGAAGTTTGTCTTTGTCCGGATCAAAAAAAAGAAGAAGAAGAAAAAAAGGAGTATAATGGCCCATTAATGGATGTATAATTGTATATATAAATTTCCCATAGAAACTATGGTACTTCATGCCACTTCCACATGGGCTATACGACTGTTGCAGCATATTTCTTCCTCTCAAACTTTAAACTTTAAAGCCCCTCGCCACTTTTTTTTTCTTTTCTTCTTTCTTTTCAATGATTGCCCACTGTTGACCCCTCTTGTTTCTGAATGGGGCTCACAGCTTCATATTATTGTTTGCAACTTTGCAAATCGTACGGCATACTCACACTGCCGTCTTCACGCGAATAGAACGCCCGGTCATTATAGCCATATTTGGGGCCATTTTCTGTCCAGATGCAGCGATAATGACCGGGCGTTCTATTCGGGTGAAGACGGTAGGACTTTTTTGAATGAGCTCTGGTGGGAATTGGGACAAACCGCAGATTCCCATCGTACGGTCTGTATAACTAAGTAGATTAGTTTCGTAATATTATTTCGAGCTATATTGGGTTTGATCCCTTGACCTGTCCCTTACTGGGGACCCTCTTCGAACTAGTTTAGTGTTGTCGTTTTTCTACATTTTGAGGTCTGCGGGGCTCGATCCTTGTACCTGCTACTTACCAGGGATCCTCTCTTTCGGGTAGTTCTAGACCATTAGGCCTTGTGTTTTTGTCTTTTTCTGCTGCTTTTGTGTATGCCCGTAGGTCTGGGTGTTCTGTTTGTCGTAGGTCGAAGTTGAGGTTATCAGCCTTGGGCAAAAAAAAAGAAGGTTGAAGTTGAGGTCAAGTCTAGAAATAGGCTGACGTCATTGGGAGTCGGGTTCCCTCCTTTTGCTCTTTCTTGTTTTCACGAGCTGGGTGTGAGGTCCCATTGGAGCTGGAGCGCTATTTTTCAGTAGCGCGGCAGCATCATCATCTTCACACACTGCTGGCGGCGGCCATAGCTGGGGCCGAGCAGCTTTGTTGATGACAGCACTGGGCTAGGCGCGCCAAGTACTGAAGAACGCTTCCTCCTATTTGTGTGCCGTTGGGGCTTGGGCAGCTGCCACGAAGCAGCTCTTTGAAGTCTTCTTTGATGTGGCAGCGCTCTTCATCTTCATCGAGTTGGTGTGTTCTTCCCCTTCATCCTGGGATCTGCGCTCCCCTGATGAATGGACACATAATCTGCAAATGGGTTGCGTGAGTGGTGCAGAGTGATGTATTGGATTCAGGAGGGTGTCTGGTTGGGCGCTGGAAGTGGAAGTGGCGCCTTAGCTAGAGCTTGAGGAAGAGGGAGGATATTTCGATGAAAGTTTGTAAATAGTTTAGTTGGTCCGTGGGTGTTGATAATGTGGTTGGGATTCTTGGGAAAATTTGTGTGTGTGCGAATTGAATTGGGGAGAGACGGTAATTAGAATTGATTTTCAAATTTCAATTCAATTGTATTTTGGGTATTTGTGTGCTTCCGCTGTGTATTTTCCTCATCTGGTTTGGTGTGGATTGCTGTCTACAAGTCCACTTGTCATTGCGCACGTGAATGGGGACGTGTGGATGCCATGCTGGATTCCGTTTCAATCAGGCACATAACATAATTATGGTCAGATTTGACTCAGATACATCGTGGTCTGTTTGTAATTGCAGTCAGATACATCCAGAAAAGTCCTGGTGAGAGAGAGAGAGAGAGAGAGAGAGAGAGAGAGAGAGAGAGAGAGAGAGAGAGTATACTCGCACTAGGCCCTCAAAATCGCAAAGTCGCAAAATCAGCGGTAAGATCGAGTCCGTTTTCACTTGATCTGGCCGCTGATTTTGCGATTTTGCGATTTTGAGGGCCTAGTGTGAGCATACTCTCTCTCTCTCTCTCTCTCACCAGGACTTTCCTGGATGTATCTGACTGCAATTACACACAGACCAAGATGTATCTGACCATCATTACCACCAGAGCTCATTTCAAAAAAGTCCTAGTGTGAGGAATATTTGCAGTACAGCGAGCACACCCATTTTTGAATCATCATGTCAAAATAAGACTCAGACTGTCAGATTCTTTGTATCTGAAGATTCTGAACTGTGCTGCCTACCAGATACATTCCGGTTGATCCAACATTCTGAATGAATTGGGACTACGGCGAGGCCCAGATACCTTCAGAATGTGGTGTGGTGGAGTGAGGCCCTTTCTCTTTGTCTTTGATTCTTCCTCGCAGATTCCCCACTGTTTTCAGCTTGGTGACTGGCTGTATAACTGGCAATGTTTCCTCAATGCCCGAATGTGGACGTGTTTGTGGAGAGGTGCAGAAAATCGCATTGAGTTTCCTCAAGCGCACATCTCCACAAACACGTTGAGATTCGGGCTTTGAGGTAACTCAACGCTGCAAGTGGGAGTGTAATATGACGGGGGCTGCTGGGCCCGTTGCCCAGCAACATTGCTGAGCCGAGCGGCTGTAAGCTCGTGCACGTTGGTTTCTCTGAAATGTAGTACGTCCTCGAGCTTGTAATTCATTAGGTTTGGCTTTGCTTTGGTCTAATTAGATTTGGCTTGTAATTCATTAGATTTGGGTTGTAATTCATTAGATTTGGGTTATTCGTTCCGTTCAAACTTCAAACAGTTTGTGACCTTGGTCTGAGCTGGGACAGAGATGCCTTGCTCATTCGACCGTCCCACGGCAATTGACGTGAGGGACGCTGGGTTCATTTCCCAGCATTTGAAAATTGAAATATACCATGTATGGATTATTTATTTATTATTATTATTATTATTATTATTATTATTATTATTTTTAAATGTGACTCCCAGAATCTACAGGCCTAAAATAATCTCAATTTGGTACTTCAAATTCTGACTAAACTTCATTAAAGCCTAATTATTAATTAATTTTGAAATTTGAATGCATCTGGACAGGGTGAAGGCTATCTTCCATCATTTGATCATGGTGTAGGAGACCCGATTGAAGAGGACATCTTCGTTGCACCTCAGTAAGATATCCTGCCCCCCACCGCCTTCGGGATTGTTTTTTCCTTTTCTTTTATTAATACTCTTGCTTGTCTGATTGGTAGGTTCAATGTATATTCTTATCTGTACTTTGGGGCTTCCGGCCCCGCCGTGCACACACGGCGCTTGAACCGGCACCCTCGGCCACCGGAACCAAGTCTCTTAACCACTACAGCCCTGACACGGTGTTCAGAAGTGGAATCGTACCGGTCATGATATCCTCCCCACACATGCAGGGCTGTAGCGTCCAATGCACACACAGCACACACAGCACACACAGCACACACAGCACACACAGCACACACAGCACACACAGCACACACAGCACACACAGCACACACAACACCACATGGACACGGCAATCAACACGCACTTCGTTCCACCTCCACTGACCCATAACCGCTACTTAACCCGGTCACATGCACGGGCCAACCTGCCTGCTGAGACGTCGTCTCCCCATGCGGGCAAAAATGTTTGAAGTTTGAACGCCCTCGCAAATCTTTCTCCCGGCCACGTCAACGCCTGGAAAATAAAAAAGGGGAAATCTGATTTACTTGTCGAGTTGTCAGGCAATAGATGTCCAGAGGTCTGATGCCACCACCCTTTCCGAGATTCCCGAGATTCCTGAGCTTCTATAACGGCGCCTTGTCTACTTGAATGTATATGACTGACGGCCCGTGTCAGATACAGAAATTATGAGGTGCGTGCTGGTCCAAAGGTCAGACACGGCTCCTTCCCAAAAATGTGTAAGCTTCTACAAAGGCCCCTTGTGTGTGTTTCTTGTTGTGAATGTATACAAGCGATGATGCTTGCCAGATACGGAAATTATAAGGTGCATGCTCCTTGTTGTGTACTCGAGTGTATCTGAGTGACGACCTTTGTCAGACCTTTGTCGGATGCAGAAATTATGCGATGCATGCTGCTCCAGAGATCTGACGCCACCCTTTCCCAGATTCGTGAGCTTCTTCAAGGCTCCTCGTGTAGTTGAACGTTTGCAAGTGCCGATCCTTGCCAGATACAGAAATTATGAAGTGGGTGCTGCTCCAGAGATTCGTGAGCTTCTACAACGGCTCCTTGTGTACTTGAACGTACACAAGTGACGTTCCTCATCAGATACAGAAATTATGAGGTGCATGCTGCTCAAGAAAAGTGTGCTCCCCTGAACTCCTCTCTCTCTCTCTCTCTCTCTCTCTCTCTCTCTCTCTCTCTCTCTCTCTCTCTCTCTCTCTCTCTCTCTCTCTCTC